GATCGCTCCACTGAAGCGCGAGTAATCCCCCACCGCCGCCGTGAGAGGCGAGGCCGTCCTCCTGAGTGATACGGCGAATGGACCGTGTAGTCTGCACGGTGTGCGGCGGGGGAGGGGGGTCGGGAGGCAGACACCGATGGACTCGCAAACTGGAAAGGGGATAGTGTGGTGCATTGCGTTACTAGTGCGCGCGCCTGGGCGCGCCTCTGCGGCCGACCGGCCGCCGCAGTCAGTGGTCACCAGGACGCCTGTCGACTGATAGCGGTGAGAGCGCGCGTATATCACAGATATATCAGAGGTCCTCGCACTCAACTTGGAATTTCGCAAGGCTGCGAAGAGGCAACTCATGTTGCGGGACGGCTCCAAATTTCTGGAGGGGTCATGCTCTGAAAGGATCTTTGAACACCTCACACTGTCAGCTGTTTTAATTGCATGAGATACGGGACATTGGCCCAAATTAAGACATATTTCTTGTTACTTATCTCATTATTGGTGTATTTTTGGGGTTAGGTTTTATGTTAAATGTACCCTGTTCTAAGGCAAACACCTAACACTAAGCCCCATGTTGGAATTACTCCCTAATGAGCTGGCTTGACTTAACGAGTTCATTCCGATGCATTATTTTTATGGCCGTGGTTTTTGACCATACATAACAGATGCACAGCACAACACTGCCTCCACTGCCCGTCTTCCGGGCCCTCCGCGTCGACGTCGCTGACCGTCGTCTCCTCTGTCGGCAGCGACGCGCGCCGTCCCGAGAGCCGTCGGCGCCGATGAGTGTCGTCAGGCGGCGTGTGGCGTCGCCCCGCCGCGCGCCCGCCGCGCCCGGCAGCTGGCCACGCGCTGCCATGACGTCCGCCGACCGCGTGCCGCTGGTGGTGGGTTCGAGCGACTCGGGCGACGAGGGCGAGCGCGGCCGGCAGCGGCGCCAGGCGCGGCTGAGCCGGCGCCGGCGGCCGGCCGCCGCCCTCCACAGCCTGGCGCCCGACCTCGGGCCGCCCGTGCAGATCCAGGTGCGCCGCTGCTCGCGCGCCGACCGCGCCACGTTCGCCGCCACCGGGGGCGTGCACAGCACGCCTGACCTGCACGTGGATGGTCTGCGCTCGGACGAGTCGCCGCCGCCCGGCTGGACTTCCCCGGGCGGACATTTGAGAGCGGGCACGCCTCCCGAGCGGCGCGCTCGCCGCCTCGACGGACCGCATCACTCACGCTCGCAGTCATGCAGAGCGCCCCGCAAAACAGGTAAGAGGCGGGGCGGGTGACGTCTTGAGGCGGGTCAGTGGCAGGGGACCGTGTGGGGGGGGGGGGGGACCGACCGACCGTGTAAGACCGTATCACTCGCGTTCCCAGTCGATACTGCAGGCGATCCGGCGGGGAGCTGACCCGAGACGAGCGTCCTCAGGGGATCTCTAACCGACGAGCTCAGTCTGTGCGGCGCGCGAGAAGGCGATGGGAAAATGTCTTCGTGTGGGTGGCTTTTACCATTTATCACGCCGGGGAGATGTTTTATTGTTCCTAAACTACTCGAAATGGAGTCCCGTAAGAATCGGCGTTAGCTCTTCTGATTCCGGCGAACAGTAGTCAAGAACCGATAACTGTCTTACTATCTGGATCCACTCTCATACACCAAAGTCGGATTACACCAAGCTGCATTTGACTGTCGTTCTCCGAAATTACCCAGGTGGCAGCCGCGTATTCTGCACCCTTTTACAGGATGTCTGATGTGACTGCACCAGGTTGTATGCACGAGTGTCTGAAAACGCAGACCCTCTTCAACGTTAGCCCAGTCTCCTTCGTTCATCACGTTGGGTTACTCCTCGTTAACTCATGCCACCTGCGATGAAGTCCGAGCGGACGTTTCTCCGGTTTGCTGTGATCTAATATCAGCCTGTTTCGTTTATCTCCCATGCTGTACCGGACCGCGTCTGATTATTACCGACGTCGTGTGCCATCACCTTATACAGGATTGTCTGCTTTTTATTAAGTCCATCAAAAAGCGTATTGTATGGTTGAAATGTGCATCTCGTTATATGTCTAGTTATCGAAAATATTATGACGCCACTGGAAGTAGCTTTTGGTGGTTAGTCTCCAGTGTTTACGGAACCTTTTGATGTTTTACGGAACGATACCATGGCGCAAATGTACCATCTGACGGGTGCATTATTAAGCCCTCAAAGCTAAATATCTGCATTACTTCATGTTTTGCAAGCCTGCAGGAACTTATCGCAACTCGCAGCTGTCGTCGGCTCCGGGAAAGGACAACAGTACATGTCTGCATGTAATGCTGTGCTATGCCACATTAAGTAGGTCCAGGCTTCTGTGGGTCGATAGCCGCTCCTTCGCTGATGACGGCATAAATATACGACGTCTGTCGTGCATCGCTAACCAGATTGCGGCGCCAGATAATGGCTCGCGATCGTACGGCTTGGGTTACGTTCAGCCCAAGCTGCGATGGATGGGCGAAAGCGCCAGCACCCCACTACACCGCTAAACGGTGACCTCGGGTCGCAACCGCGCAGCAAGGAATACTTGCAGCATTTGCCCCGCTGCGCAACGACTGCAGATTGTGGCATCCATTACTTCGTTGCCGTCGGCATAACGTCTGTGAAACATGCAACAGGCTCCAGGCCTGCTTACTGATTGTATAGTCGGCCACGCTTCCAGCCCGCCTCAGCGTACATAATAATGCCTCCGGCCCGCTGTGCCGTTCTTGCGTGTTAGCCCCACTGGCGACGGACGGCTGCGAGTGCAGAGGTGATGCAAAGGCTATTTACCACCGTTAACTTTGAAGACGTCCAATTTGTGGCGGTGCTGGTGTTTACGGGAGCCTTAACGGCAGGGATGCAAGACGCTGGCGTCGTTTCAAGCTTGATTGAGGTGGCTTGCTGTGACCCGTGGGAGGGTGAGGTGTCTGGGGTTTGTGCATGGTTTAGAAGAGATTGTGCGTACGCAGAATGTCGTAGACACTGGAGTTTTATTTAAGAGTAGTTTTGAGTTCGGTATGTTCAAAGTTATGGCGTGACGTCCTGGTCCACATCGTGGCCTCCTTGCTGCTTGCAGTTCCTTTAAACCCGGCAAAGACTTTAAATATTTTGTTCTTATTTGTCCAATGAGAGACGTCACCGAAGCGTCACCTTCCAGACCGAAATTTATTTGTGCACACACGTTCCGTGCACCTACGTCTCAAGACTAAGGACGTGCGACTATAAATGCGACGCCAAACGTCTCAGGTTGTCTCCAATATAACGCGGGCCTCGCGCTTGAGACAACTGTTTTCGAGGATTTTCTTTCTAAGCCCTTGGCATACAAATATAAGTTTTCCAACAATGTTTATTTGATTTGGCACGCGTGCGGCCTCTCGGGAGATTTTGTTATGAAATAACTTTTGCCTCCAGTGGTATGAGAGGTTCCTACAATACCGCACGTCAAGGTGAACATTCCAGTTCGGCGTGTATCCGCGACTCGCGCTTTGGCGCATAAGGCCCGTTGGGCATCAGCAGCGCCCAGAGCCACGCCGCCATTTGTGCGGCGAATTCGCTGGGTGGAGCGAACTCATTGGCCAGCCCCCTGCAATTGGATGGTCGCCGCCTTACGTGGAGTGCTGCTGTTAGCAGTTTTGTCAGCATTGATGCGAAATTGAATCAAAATGAGTCGTTCATTGCATGACTTTGGCCACCAGAGTGTGATCTTTAAGTCATTTACAGCTAGAAATTGCCTCGCGCATCCCATGCAGAGTCAGACATGTTCTTGATAAAAGGACGAATTCCACCTCTTCTACTAGCCGAAATCCCACGCGAAAAGGCTGTTGCTATACATAGACAACAGGCACAGAACAAAAAATAGCGGAATTCTTCTTTGCTACGAAATAAGTATTTCTAACCCAGCGCTATTTCACACGTCATCTCAACATGAAGACGGCTCCATTAAGATACGCGATTTTACAAATTAGAGAGAAGCTCAGTCGAGAGGGATCCATTAACGACCGCCGGAAGAATTCCGGTAAAAAAGAAGCATCCGACGTCTTAAAACGATTCAAAGAGCTGCCCAACTGACTTGGCGGAAGAGTTGTCTCCCGTGAGACCGTGCGCTAGTGGCTGGCCCATCTCCCCTGACCGAGACTTCTTTCGATGTGGACACCTGAAGTGGTTGGCAATCACGATAATCCCCAGACATTCTTCGTATTATGGTGCAGACAGTGCAGGAGATCGGACGCAAATAGGTGCGGAACCCCTGCTCGATCTGCCCGGAAATGGACGGAACATGTTTTTATCTGAACAGGAACTCACATCGGAGCTTATCGGGAAAAGTAGGATGTTTCGGTGTGATGCCGGATGGAAGATTGGCACAGGAAGAAGTGTTGGCTACAAGGCCATCCATCCGATGCCAAAGTTTTTTATTCATGCAAAAGTTGAAGGCAATGAAATGTGCCAGTCCAGTAAGAACACTGGTAGTTCTGCGATTTTAGTCTATATGTGTGTGTATAGGGCTATGACGTGTCTGCGGCTCTATTAGTCTATCACGTGTTGGAGGAATTTGCCTTCGAGTTGGGGACGGCTCTGCACGCAGGAACCTATACGCTGATCTATGGTTTAACAACTCAAGCCACACGTTTTTACACCTACGTTTTGCCAGTGTTTTGAGCACGCACAAGAATCACACGTCTTGAATGGCGAGGTGCAAGCTCTGGATTATTTATTCCCCAGTCCGGCTTCATTGACGTCGCCAGAATAATGCAGTGCTTCAGTCAGCTCCCGGTATGTACCATGGCGTTGTTAACGCTGTTATGGTAGCAACGACTGCAATTTTAATCGGCACGGGCTCCTTTGCACAACAGCATTAGAAGAGAATTAGGTAACTGTGAGGGTTCTTTGTGCGAAAAGCTTACGTAAAATAAACGTGCACTGCAAAAAGCCTGACAATTAAGTCTGAGCCCGAAAATCGTATCTACTGAAATAACTCAATACAAGTTACATTTTTTCATCCGTGCTAACACGGCTTGCAATATCTACTGTGATGCCCATGGCGTATGTTTACTGTGGCATCATGCAGATCTACTGTCATCGCTCGATTGATCGCCAAAGATAGGACCACACTCTCTAGGGTACCGGTGCCACATATCCTGACTCAAACATAAGCTTTTTGTTGAGAAACAGATGGTCCGCGTAGTATATCGAATGTGGCGTTCCGGGGGTCGCTGCACGACTGCGCATCGCTGTATTTTCCTGAAAACCAAGCTGGCATAAACACTTAACAGCGAGCTTTCCTCTTCACATAATGTATCCAATTCATTCCACTTACAGTAATTGCATACAGAAATGGCCTGAAGCGGGGAACGGACTTGAATAAGACTGCGTGTAGTTTGCCCTCTTGGCTTGGATATAAACCCCAAAAGTGAAGGCAAACCCACGTATATAGACACGACACTGGTATCGTCAAAGACATGTCCTTTCAATACCTTGTCTAAGTCCTGGTGAAATGGCCTTTTGTCAGCTTGCAGCGTTCAGACAGTACGTGGCAAAATGTTCCCGGGACCCAACGAACCCTTTGAACACAATCGCCAGTTCTTTCGCAATCTTCAACGACAAATTGTTGAGTCGCATCAAGCAGAGGCAGAACTGGGCCAATATCATCGGGGCATACATGAGACACATGACAAGCGTATTCGGGCCATGTCGAATGCGCGCACCAGATGTAGGGTTTCAGGAAACAATGGTTCAACGAAGCATATATTTCGGTTAGTTTTTCGCATCAAGGGGGTCTCAATATCTAATGCAAGGTGATGAACTTCTTTATCGCTGAACGTTGGAAGTTTAGTAATACCCAATACAATGGAAATAAGGTGTGCAAGCATATATATTTCTAACAAGAAGTGCCGTTGAATAACAATCCACCTTTTCTTAACGACGACCAAAACGCCACACTTAACCCAAGGTTTACAAGGCGAGAAAGCGATAGGAATAGAAATGTATTATCCCAGCCTGGGCATCATAGATCTTCATATCCTGTCAGGGATTTAACAGTGCATCCCCCCCCCCCCCCCCGCTTCGATGCATGGGTCTCGCCCATAAGAGGTCGCGACGAAATGCAATACGTATTTAACCATCACCCTGATTAATCGCTTCCTAACGCGGACTGAAAGAAGGGGGGGGGGGTCGAATGCAACCCCCGTGGCGGTTTCAGACTAATGAAAATCATGCCTAGCGGAGAAATCCAGCAGGTTGGTCTCAACGAGATCTCGTGAT